CCTGGACGCGTTCCTGTGTGGCTGCCCTGGGAGATCCTGCTCTGGCAGGGGGTTGGACTGGATGATCTCTAGTGGTCCCTTCCAAACCCAAACATTCTATGATTCTATGACGTAGTTAGATGATGATGACATAACGCTATGCAAATGGAAAAGAATTCATGTTACATGGTGTTGCATTTCTGTTCCCCAAGTACCTGACTTTGCATCCTTAACATGCTTGCATGTAATCTTTCTCCTTCTTCACTGAAGATACACAGCTGTTAAGTACTGACCAGACAGCTGCCACAAACTCTTACATGTTAGGAGCAAACTAACTCCCAAATGATTGGAGTTCATATCCTTTCCATGCGTGAAACCATATTTAGAAAAGCAGATTTCCCTGCATATTAAAGGAAGCTGTTGCACATGTGTCTATTTTGCATGTGCAAGAGAAAATTTTTTATACACAATGGGTATACATACAAATGGCTTTTGATTACAGTGTAAGTATTGCCTTTAGAAAATTGTGTCCCATTAAATAATTCATGTCATCCTCCTAGCAGAAGAAATCCAAAAGTGTCTAGTGAGGAACTAAATTAGTGACAGTGGGGATTCAGAAAATATTGTCTTCTGTGTTGCAATAGTTACACTTCATTATTGGTTTATACCGAAAACAAACAAATTGGATAATTTGTAGCTCAGATAAGCCTTGGTTAATACAGCCACACAGGATGTAAGGGGAAATGGGAGTGTACATTCCCCTGCCTAGATACCTCTCCTGAGGCAGAGTGGGAGGGTTCTGCAATGCAAAGGGCAGATGCAAATTCGGCTCTGTTAGCACCAATAAACCTGCTACCAGAGCAGACCACAGCGAGGGGGAGGATGCAACAGCTACACCTGGGGAAGAGCTCTGAGAAATCATTCCAACCCAGACAGTGCAAGAAAGCAGAGACAAATTTTGAAAACCAGCTGGCCAAGGTACAACTATATTTCAAGACTCAGGCCAGGTAGTCCTGCTTAATTGACAGTAGGGACTGGCTTTTTTATAATGTCAGAAATTTTGAGATAATAAATCATTTTCTAGAGGACAGCAAGAAACATTTGATCTTCAAATTGCGAATAGTGCTGCTGATATAAAGCTACTGTTTTCAGACTCCATTCAAATCCATTACACATTGAAGACCTAAATAAAATAGCTGAGCAACTAGAAAATTACATAGAAAAAACACAAGGCAATGTGTGGGGACTAAATTATTGTAGCTTGGTGAAAGCTGCCCTTGTGAGTGTTACCTCCATCTTCAAACTCTGTACAGGATTCCTGTTTGTTCTTGGACTCGTACCTACTAAGACTTGGATATAGGTCTTGGCCTTATTATCTGATAGTTTGTAATATCTACTACTTGACAACTTGCTGAGAAATTACATTTTAAAAAGCTTGATATTAATTTAAAACCTACAAGGTTTTGCTCATTATTTTTGGGACAGCCTATTCAACTGCTAGTCACCAGCTACAGCAAAGTATGCTGACCCCATTGATGAGGTAATCAATTATGCCAGAACAAAACAAACTAGAAACTAGAAGGAAAAGCAGCCAGAGAAAACAGAGAGAAAGAGCATTTGGCAAATGACACAGGACAAAACATTTCATTTCCAGGTTCCAAGAAGACATATTTTAAATTTGTATTAAATATGATTTACAAAATCAATGTTCCTCTATGCTGGACAGCTTTACTTGGAGTGAATGAAGACAAATAAGGGCACTCATCCAAACCTGTGGCTCTACAGGCATGTGGCACTCTGGAACAGAGGTTTACGTGCCAGCAAGTGCAATTACCCCAACTAGAAATGATTTAGGATTCTGTGATGTCTGGAGTGTTAAAAACACAGGCTATACCTTTGTAACACAACCATCTGAAATCCAGGTTTAAATTCTGCCTTTAAAGTGACTGGCAGCACAGCTTGCTGCTGTGTGCACATTGGAGAATAAAAATGATTAATTCTGCCCACCAGTGAAGTTTTTGCTTATGAGTATCATAAGCCTTTGCTGTGCGCAGCATAAAAAAAACAACCCACAAAATCATTTTTATGCTTAGTTTCAAATCCTTATTCAAAACTACGTAACAGTGCTAATTACTAAACACTAGGAAGATTAAATAAAATATCATAAAATGCTGACTTGAAAAAAGATCACAAAACAAAACACCTTAAACCTAACCACATTTACCACATTTTTTTAGTGCATGATTTTATAATTGTGAATTTGGAAATGATTTTCATGTTAGAATTAACAGAAGAAAGTAATTGGGAAAGAATTAAATCAAAATGGAAATATATCATGTAATATGAGCTCCCATGATGAGCTGAACATCTGAAAAAAAGGAGCAGAATGATCAATGCCTCACCGCAAGAAAGACATGCAAAGATTGGCTTGGGGAAAAAAAGATTTCCTTTTGGAATCACCACAGCAGGAGCCAGAAGCAGCTTTGCACCCAGAGACCTAACGTCGTCTGTTAAGCTAACAAAACTTAGTCTGGACGAAGAAAAAAAGTAAGACTTCATCTTTTCATCCCCTTCCACTTCACTGCTCATCTCCCTCGTGCTTATCTTGATCCCAGTTTTCTTTTTCTGAGGATTTTTTCCTCCCTCTCCCCCTTCCTTTCTTGCCTTTTTTTTTGATGCAGATGCGGGGAGCAGCATGGGTGCCTGACGCCAGCTGCATCCTAACGGGGACCCTGCCTTTCTCATTTACATTGTCACATTCAGCAATTATAGAATGTACTACAAAGGACCCAGAAGGGGTTGGTGACTGAGATAGCACTACTGAGCCTCGCGGAGACCGGGCGCTCAGCACTGCGGGTGGTGCGGGACAGCCCAAGCGCTTGCCAGTCATGCTAAGGGGATCAAAGACCTCAAAAGTGAGAACATGCCTTGTGTCACAGGACAATTTGGAAAGAAAACATGGAAATATCCTACCTAAGCCAGTCTCTTGTTTCCCAGTTTTGCCACAAAGGTGTGACGCAAAACTCGATGTGACTGAGGAGGAATCCCCAGTGGGAATTTCTGGCGAACATGCTCTAGAGTGCCTCACCATGGGACAGCGACAGCGTGGCTACAGGGATGTTGCCGAAGCACAACGGTCACTCTCTGTACCAAACCACAGACTAACCATGAGAAACCAAACCACAAATTAACCGTGAGAATAAAATACGCATACAATATGCACAACATAAACAGAGTATTCTTGAACTTATACATGGAAAAACTCTAATAAAATGTATTATTCCTCTGAGGTTTTATAAATCAGAGAATGGCCTAGGTTGGAAGGGACCTTAGAGATCATCTAATCTAACCTCCCTGCCATGAGTAGGGACATCTCTCAACTAGACCAGGTTACTCAAGGCCTCATCCAACTTGGCCTTGAACACTTCAACGGAGAGGGCACCCACAAATTCCCTGGACAATTTATCCCAGAATCTTGTCACCCTCGTACTGAAGAATTTCTTCCCAAGATCCAATCTCAATCTATTTTCCTCTAACTTAAACCCATTTCCCCTTGTCCTATCAGTGGATACTCTTCTAAACAGTCCCTCTCCAGCCTTCCTGTAGGCTCCCTTCAGTTATTGGAAGGCAGCTATTAGGTCACCCTGAAGTCTTCTCTTGTCCAGGCTGAACAATTCCAGCTCCCGCAGCCTGTCCTCATAGCAGAGGTGCTCCAGCCCCTGGATCATCTTTGTGGCCCTCCCCTGAACATGCTCCAACAGATCTATGTCCCTTTTATGGTGGGGACAGCAGAACCGGACACAGTATTGTGCCATATTCTTCTTTCAGTTACGCTACAGCAGACCTGCCCTGCACAACCCAGACAATAATTTGAACAGTAACTTTTATGCTAACACCACATAAGCAACAATCGGCAATGGTTTGTCATATTGGGAGAGTGAGTGCAACTATAGGCTTTCTACAGGCTAGAAAGAGGCTTTCTATAGGCTAAGAAAGAGATCTCACCACACATCTCGATCCTGCACACTGTCCCTGCCAGAGTTCAAAAGACTCTAGGGGTAGGACTCTGTCCATAGGGAAGACATTACTAGGTTAATAGACTTGAATGAAGTGCAGCTAAAATATAGAATGTGAGGTACAGCTCTATGTTAGGCTGAAAATAATGGCATTTTCTAGTGCTCTTGTTATCTTAAAAAAGCATCTTGAATAATTACTCACACAATTAAAAGGAATAATACCAGATATTCTTGGCCAAGTTAGCTTGTATCATTGAGCAATTTGCTTCATTTTACCTACTAATGGCATTTCTAGAAATAAGAAAAAATCTGAATTTTAACCTTGAAATACGAAGTCTACAAACCCATATTTCAGTGTATGCATTGCAAGCCCACACCAGGGAATACTTTCAAAAATAAAAATAAACTTCCAAACTTTGAATGCACTTTAAGGGTCAAAAAGCAATGGGAACAAATGCATTATTTAATCACAAAACCCACACTCGATTCAGTGCAAGGCTGAGGAGGAAGCTCAGGTTCCCAGAGGCAAGGGAAGTGAGCACTGCTTTGAGGGACTGCTGCGAAAAGGGCTGCAGCTGAGCTTTCCCTCAGCCCTGCCTCTGCCTGGGAGAGGTGGAGAGGTCGAAGAGCTGCAGAAGACAGGCAGCTCTTAATAGGAACGAGCTGCCATTTTCTCAGGAACAGTGAAGCAGAGAGGAAAAATGGTGGAGAACTCCTTGCTTGCAAAAAATAAAGCCATAATTCAAAACTGAAAAGAAAAACTGTTAAAAACAAGGGCTACTCACACATTACTTCGACTCTATGACAAAATTCTTATCCTTTTTCATGGCACATAGTTACCAGCTACATCTTTATTACAGTCTCTGTGTTTCTCCTTCACCATTATTAAGGGTTAGGTCCATTTCTTACCTGACTGGCACAGGCTCTGCTCTCATTACCTTGATTCAAAGCTAACAGCAACTTTTAAAAAATGCTCACAATAATCACCAGCTATGGTATGCTTACCCTGAGGTAGTTGAGAGTGAAGTTTGTCAGACCCATTCGAGTGATGTTTTTGGACAGCTGCTCCAGCACCTGAGGGTCTTGTGCCTAAACAACAGAGGAAAAAGGAATTTTCACTTTGCTTTTTGTCTATTTGTTTTTCTCTATGCTCTTGGTGGAGTGCAGGGAGGGTTCTCTGAAAAGTGGTGCCACTCCTATGCAAAAATTACACATGGATGCTAAATTTATGTATTATGATACAGAGTACTGTTTGCATAGGAAAATGTAAAGCGTTATGAAATTGGAGCAGAATAAATACTGTTTTTCAATATCTTCCTTCAGTCCCTGCATACAGACCTAGGAGAATCAGTCATGCACAAGGTATATAAGTGAGCAGGGCCCCACTAAAGAGCTTCCTGGAGGATCACAGTATGCTTTGCACCTTCGATTTGGTGGCTGGAGTCCTATAAGACTAAGCAGATAAAGGCAGGAATAGCAAAGGTACCGTGTTCTATTTGTGGGTAAGAAACAGAAGCAAAGAGAACTCATCAAGGCACCTTCAGCAGAGCTGATCACATAAGTGCTATTAAACATGGGCTGGAGAACCCTCGTGGTCTAAGTTATTTTCTCAGAATTAAACAGGAAAAAATGCAAGTACAGTCCTTCTGTGACCCTAGCCAGGAGCTTTACCTGTGAGACCAGCCTCCTCTTTAAAATGAGATCAATCTCATTACTAAAATTAATACCTGCTGCTTGCTGGCTAACCTGCTTCCACTCTCTTTGAATTGCAGCAGCTCCCCTAAATACATAATGTCGCTCATGGCCATCCTCGTTGTCCCTTAATGGGATACTGCTGAAGAGTTCAGAAGATCAGCCCTCTATAATAAAAGATAACCCTAGGAGAAAAATGATGGGGTAGCTTTTCAAAGGTATTTTCTTCAGGCCTGTAACAGTATTTTCAAAAAAGACTAGGCTTCTTCAGTTATTCAAAATTCCTCACTAAGGATATATATTTATCTATGGATATCTAAGTAACTCAATGTCAAAATAGAGGCATGTATTTGGGCCTGTGCTCTTAAACTCTATGAAACCATAGTCCTACAACTAATTTTGTATATGGAGCACTAGTTACTAGTTGGAATGCTTCTACAGTGTGAAACTAGGAGTTGTAAGACTGTCGTTGGTTTCTCTGTAATAATTTAAATATTTTTACTTCAACTTGTAGAATATTTAATAACTTAATATTCTGTTGTGTGTGTTTTCATTCAATTACATGAGAAAAGTCTTGAAATGTGAGAAAAGAGAGAAGATCTGGATTAAAATTCTAAAGGTTTCTAAGTAAATATGTACTAATTACTTATTTACTGCCTCATGCAAGGATAACGTTAGTTTGCTTCACTTAAAGACTAAATATAATTTATAACAATGATGCAAATTCCCTGACTTTAGTATAGTTCATATCAATAAGAACAGATTTTGGGACCAAATCATAGAGACCACCAAATGGGATTAAAAGGAAAACTATGTGCTAAAACAAAATGAAAACATAGCAACAGTGGCAACAACAGAGCACTGAGAAACAAGGGAGTGACGAAAGTACTTGTAACTGGACGTAGCTGCAGGCAAAACAAAATATTTATAGTTAATTGCCTTGGGTGTGAAATTTGCTGGAGTTCTTCATAAACCTAATCTCATTTCTTTGCACTAGGTCAAGTGAAAAAAGGATTACTTACATGCATGGCTAGAATGCTGCGTGGGACTAATTCTCTGTACTGTCTAATAGTAAAGTGCCATGTTTTTATTCTCATAAGATCATCAAAAGTAAACTCCAGGATAAGACGTCCTTCTGTGCATACCTAGAATACATAAAATACATTACATAAATTCCTAGGAATTTTGTTTTCAATGGTATTGTATCATCGATTAATCAACATTCAAAAATATCAGAGCAGTACTCTATTGTTCGTTGCCGCTAGATTAATTGTTTTCCTTTCTCTTGGGAAGAAAAAACAAATGTGGGAAAATGACTTCATAGGCCTTACCATGGAAACAGTAGCTTATAATACTATAGATTTTATAGCATTTTACAAACATAGAAGATTGTGTGCTCTAAATCTTATTTATTGCATCAATTCTCTTGCCCTCACAGTTTGCTACTGCTAATTAATTACTGAACATCGCACTGGAGGTGGCTGTGGTGCGACTGCGTGCACTTGATGTCAACTGCTGACCCAGTCATTCCCAACCTGTTTTATGTTGCCCTTTCCTTACAGTAGCTCAGCATATAAGCCTTCCTTTCATGTCCAGTTGGAGTACACAGTGCCCTGAATGCCTGTGGCCAAACCTGATATTTTTTTTCCACTTTTGTTCCTTCTTGTCTTTTTCAAGTGTTCTTGTCTTTTCTAGTCATTTTATCCCACTTTTATTTTTTCTTCCATTTCTTATCTACTTTTAGGAATGCCTCCTTCCAAGGCAAACCAAAGGAGGTGTCTGCCGTCGGGCTGCATGAGCTGCATTGCCACGGCAGGTTTGAGAGCCAGGGGAGCAGAGGAGAGGTTGCAGGCATGGACAACGGAGCTGCTTCCACAGAAAGTGGCTCACGCAGTTTTGTGAGGAGCCTCGTCAAATTAAGGAGAGAAAATATGGGAGGAATAAATGCAGAAAGTGGGCACTACCTGTAAATAAGAAATAAAATAAATTACTGTGGACTTTTAAACAACTGTTACTAACTTCATGTGGAATAGCTGTTGTGGCTCTGATCTTCTCTAAGGTGCAAAATAGACACCTGGCATCTTATCTTGACTAGGGGTACCATGAACTACTGCAAATGATGCCTGATCTGAAAATTTGTCTTTGATGCTTTTTTAAAATTTGGAGTATTAGAGTTACAACTCCTGTTCAAAGCAAACTTGCAAGTGCACAGGGTATAGATATACTGTGGAAACAGAGTGTAATGGCTTTCGAAAGAAAAGGGTTCTGCAACTTTGATTTTAATACAACTAATACTTGACCGAACAACTAGCCATCCTAGATAGAGCTGAATCTGTTGAGGCTTTTTACAAGCCCCAGCTCAGACTTGGCTAGCTCCCACTTGGGCAACGTGTGGCTTTTCTGGTTAACATTTCACTTAACGTCATCAGAGGTTTTCCTCCAGGTTGCTTCTGCAAAAAACATGTAGGTAATTTTAACAGGCATGCTACAGAGACAAATTACTGTAGACTTACAAAGGAGAATCTTGCAACAGGTTCTCATCTGCCCTTTTCAACACACTTTAGGGATGCCTTCAAATTTTTAATGTAACTTATTTTGTCATTTGACCCTATTTTTGATTTTCACATCGCTTGCACTATGATAAGAAATTACACAGGGGTACACATGCACTCACATATGGATTCACAGAAGAAGCAAAACGTTTTATGTTAACGTCACTATGTTGAGGCCAGAGATAATGATTAGTGACCAGTTAACATGAAAATATTTCAGGTTCAGAATATTTTTTTATAATAATACCTGTGGCTTCTCAAATGATTCTTCTCTTAAGCTCAAAACCCCACAGGTCTTAGCAGATTAATTTTATGCACTGGCATTAACAAATTTTAATAGAAAAACTGAAACACATTCCTTATATTGCAGTGGTAAAAAATTTATACATCTTATAAAGAAATTTAACTTCCTTATGTAGAGCAGAATTTTATGCATTGCTTTTAATCAATAAAATTGGCACAGTTCTTATTTTAAATGGGCCTCTTTTTTTTTTTTTTTTTTTAAAGCTGCCTTTTACATAGAATCCAAAAAATCAAAAGGGTCTCCAATTAAGAAAACATTTTCTGTTGTGCTGAATTCATGTTACCGTACTGTGAGCTCTGACATTTTGTTTCTGTGGTAACCAAAATCAGCTGATTAGTTGGCATGGCAACAGAAAAGATGTAATCCCAGCAGACACACTCTAATCAATGCCCCCAGCACAGATGGTCTCCGGAGGATCAACAAGAAAGAGGCTGGCAGGCATTCAGTATGTCACGTGGTTGCTCTAGACTAGGCCAGGAAAAAACTAAAAAAGAACATTTCTCAAACTAACCAATAGCTTTTTAACCCCTTCACTGCACTTGTTAATTGTAGGAATTTCAACTGCTCGCACCTACGAAAACCTGCTTTGGTCCTGTGCCTTATTGCTCAGAGTCTCGCTCTCCTAACATGGGGCATCTTTCAGAAGGCTTCCCCTTTTATGAATGACCATTTCTCAAACCCGAGTTGTTGCTTGAAAAGAAACCTAAAGCTTACACCAATCTGGGAAATGCCTGAGATTTTTAGTAAGGATTAAAACCACTGAGTTTTAAGGGCTTCACCTATAAAATCCAGCTGATGGCCCCTTGGTTGGGCGCAGGAATAGAATGGATCCAGTGCACGGTGCCCACTGCTCTAGTGGTGAAGGCAAAGCTCACCTCTGCCAGTCTCTCAGGGAATATAAACATCACTAACTGCAGAAAAACAGTTTGCCCACACATAAATTTGGAGTGTCAGTAAACATGGTTTACATAGACATGAGACTTGGGAGGACTCCTAAAGCTTTCCTTGACCCAAGGGAAACAAATACAATAGTCAGAGCTCCAGTTTCTTCTTTTACCACATTTAATTCATGCCATTGAACTGTATTAAATTCCTTATTGTATTTGTCTATACCTCGATAAAACAATTTTTAACTGTGCGACACTTTACAAGGACCTCTTGCACTCTAAAGACAAGCTGGACTATTCATATTCTTACTGCTAGGCATGTTCTAGCCACATTTGTTTGAAAAAAAATGGAAATGCCACTTTAGATATTTGTCCAATGATGCAGTATGCAGTGAGTTGCTCCAACTAGGAAAATGTTGAAATGAATAAAATGCAGCTGTAGATTCCTGATTGAATACATGGTGAGAACTGTTTCAGCCCATTATATGAAGAGTTAGTGAATTTGCAGCTTGGAAATTGTTTGTGAAACTGAATAGCTAGTTTACATTTTTGTATTAAAAAAACGCTTTGTGGTAGTTTCACTGGGTCAAATTCAGACATGATCTAAGGAGCTATACAGTCCATTGGAGTGATGCTTCTTATGGGTGGGCTGCTTTGTTCCACCAACGATGCTGTGAGAGTAGAAGTTTACCTTTGGGTATAAGAACTGTGCCCTTAGTACGTCTGCTAGAAGCTACACATGCATAGTAAAGACAACATTCGGCTCTAACTTATTTAGAGTAATACATTCTTTTCTCCCTTATTCCACCAACTACTCTGTTTTACTTCAAACTACTTTTACTAACACAGTCATATTTTAAATGCACAACCATTAAAACTCCCCAAGTTTTCTCCTGGAATCCAAATCACATCCCCACTTGAACTTTTCTACTGGGGTACAGAGGTTTATTTTGGAACCTGCAAGAGAAACGTCAGGGCTGAAGCAGTCCGTGGGCTGCCAGGGCTGCAGCAGATGGAGAGGCTCACTGTGCACATTGGGACGGTGCTTCAGGAGGTGACTCTGGCCCCCCTAACCCAGCCCAGTCCCCACGGCTCATCTACCCTTGACTTTAGATACTAGCCTCCTTTCCAAAGTAACAACACTGTAATGTGCTGCCATGATAAGTAGAATAAATTAATTGAGACAAGTGTGTTGTATTTACTGAGTCAAAAAAAGCCACCACACCCAACGCTTTATTTGCTACTGCATTAAAGCTAACACAAGCGGAAGTGACACAGAAATCGCTTTAGGGAGCTTCGCAGAGAAGCAGCTCCTGTAGACCCTCATCACGTCCTCTGCAATGGCCAGCACGCACAGCTCCTTGTGAGCAGTGAGGTGGCAAAGAGGTGCTACCTGGGAATATCTGGCCTTTTTGCATCTCTCGATGTAAGTCACAGGGAGTCTGGAGTGGGGGAGCTAGAACGACTACACGGTTAAGTGCACACCTCCCAGCTCATCGGTGCTCCACACACCAGCAGCTTCCTCTCCCTCTTCTTTAAACCCTACTCCAAGAGCCATGAAGATGGCAGTGTAGGACACGTGGGCCCTGGTCACGATGCGGTCAATAGCCGGTGCCTTTTTTGACTCTAAAAACTCCACAGTCCTGCTGGCCTATGGGTCATGGGCTATCGTCTCCTGCTGCCCCTTCTCCTTTCATACTTTCCTCCATGCAAAGGTTAAAATTCATACAGATGAACAGGTACAAGATGGAAAATTAAAATTTCCTGTTAATGTATGAAAGGGGACACTTCTATTTTGAAAATCAGGCTACTGATTTTTTTTAATATAAGAAAATTTTTATCATTTGTATTTTCCATCTTTTTGGTACTCTAATAAATATATGGCACTCAGTTTAATTACAGGACTGGAAGTGGCCAATGCATGGAGATAATTCACTATCAATTACAAATATTGAATATTCACTAACTGCTGATATAGAGCATGTTTAAATCAATTGACTCCTTCCATTGACTTCACTGCCTTTTGGACTGGCATCCTAGTGTATTAAATCACTGTTTTCCTGGAGATTTATAGTCCTCAGACTGGATAAGTATCAAATGTAATACATATCATCCCAAATGGTAGGTACCAGCAATGTGAAATCTCATTGTTGCTTTAAAATCAAGCCCAAAGAAAAGGAAGTGGGCAGGTGGAGTTTAATTCATGTACAACTGACGGTTCTGGCAACCTGGCATTACGTACTTTTCTTGCAGTCTTCCTGGGAGAATTAGAGGATGCCCACCGTATTTTCCAGTCAAATAATGAATACAGAAAATAGTAATTAAACTGCTTCAAGGGTTTTCAGTATCAGAAATAATCTTAGTCTACCAGAAAAAAATGCAACAGCCAATATTTTTCACCCTTATGCACAGTGAAAAAGAAAAAGAAAAACCAACAACATGCTTTATCGAGTCTTCCCTGTTACCTTGGTAAACATGGGTTTTCCATGCTGAGTGACCATGGTGCATTGATCACAGTCCACTGTGATGGATGAGTTGTGGTATGACTCTTTTGAGTGCTTGAGAATGTAATACAGGTCTGTTACACCTCCTTCAAAGACAGTGCTAAAATAACGAGGAATGAGGGTCCTTCCAATTGCTGTGAGGAAAATACAAAGCAGAATTCAGCAAATGCTCTAGGTTATAAAATCTCAAACCATTTGCTAACAGAACACGAATAATTTTAAGTGCAATGAAATCAAACTTTTATTTAACGATTATAATACATGTTCTCTGTCTGCTGTAGAAATGAAGTTGCGCCTGCTCCCATTGAAGTCAAGGAAAATGGGTTATTCCATTCAGAGGGAGTGGGCTCATCTTATTTAATCTTTTTACATTGATGGTGAGTTAGAGTCACTCTTGAAACCATCTGCAAGGTTTTTTGTCCCAAAGTAATTATTATACAGAAAGCCACATGGTGTCAATTATGACTGAAAGTTGGATATTACTCATAAATATATAAATACAAGTGGTGAGCATTTACAGAAATATACTCATACACCCAAAAAGGCAAAGTACATTTATACAGGGGGGTTGTGTACACATATATGTTTGTCTGTGTGTGGCACACGTATGTTTATATATATCCACCCACACATACACTTTTGATTGAACAGGAAGGCTACTGCTGACAAAGAGAGCATCCTGTGGATTGAAGAAGGAACTGAGAATGCAATACAACATATATTACACAGTATATGACTGCCCACAAGTCTCTCCGAGATGTCTCTTTAGACCAGAATTATTTGTGTCATGGGCTAGGAATTCTGAGCAGATGCATGAGCTGGCTTATATGCACCACTTAAGCTCCAAACTATGGATTCAAGGTGCCCAATTCTGCAATACTTACTTGGGCAAAACTCTCACTGAAGTAACACCTCTCACTTCAGTAGCAGTTTCAGGTAAGAACTACAAGATATAATTCCGAATATGCAATAGTAATAGTGAGCTTCCGAGGGTGCTTCAGATGCACAAACTAGCAGAAGCACTGACATCACAGGCAATTATCTCATATGCAACTGATGTTTTTCATCTCGTTTTTTACAGATAAATTTGGATGCAACCACAGCCTAGTATGACAGAACACTTCAGTTTATAATAGACTGATACTTCCATACCAAATGACTCATTGCTTTGCATTCATTAATGAATCCACAGTAATTCTGAGAGGTGGATACATAGAAATTGCCTCCATTTTACAGAGGGAAAAACCAAGTGATCTAAATTGTTTTTTAGAAGAATGAAATAGAAAAGTCACCATCGACAAGCAAGATTAGTTTATGACTTCCTAATTCTTGTTCAGCTATTAAGATTATGTGGTGACTCATGCCTCCCTCACTCGCTGTGTACTTTTGAGAGTAATTTCTAAAAAAATTATTTTCATAGGAAGTTTGCCAGCATACAAACAAAGGCTCCTGACCCTAAAAATGTATTTGCAAGTGGGTGTTGTAAATTTAAAAGTATGGTGTTTTCACAGTAGTTCTGTGAAAACTGTTTCTGCTCTGTGCATTACAATGTGCAATATTGCTTGTGCAGTCATAATGCACATTATATAACAAAAATATACAAATATAGAAAATTAGGACTTGTTACAGCTTTTGCTGTAATATTAGATATTAATGTAACCTAATGTACAAAAATATACCACACTCTCTGGAAGTGGCTGACAATTCAATGAATACATTGAAAGACTATTCTATGACTCTAGCTCCTAAAAAACCTCACCTACTCACCATGCATATATAAATTTTCTGTGGTCTTTTAATTTAATTTGGAAAAACTGAAGTCCAGTGTATCAGAGTAGGACTCAACTCATGCTTTAACTCAAATTTCTCCATGTTGGTACGGTATATAGTAAGACGTGAAATTTACTCATCAAGTTAATTTCTTGCTCCCCTAAGGGTAATTAGTGCAAATTAGATTTCCTGCTAATCATCCTAAGCAGCAAATATGTGATATGAAAATCCAGCATTTCTACTGATTGTGATAAACCTCTATTCACGTGATTACGCACTGCATAAATATCTTGAAATATTTTAACTGCAGAAGAAGCAGGTTCAAGGTTTTGGTTCTCTTCGTGAAGCACTCAATGGCTTAAAAAGATTATTTCATTTCTAGGATAAGCAAGAACTCTCTGCAGTGGTAACAAGGTTTATTTGTGCACGAGACAGTATTTCCAAGAACAACAAAAAAAATAGAACAGCTCCTATAAAGTCTAGGGATCATCACAAACTTTGTTCATTTTAAGTGCAAAAGACTTTTCCTTGATTTCTTCCTCCTCCAAAACACAATTGTGTCTATGAGCGTCCCAGCACATACGTGTGCATACACCCAGCTCTGCCAAATGCATGTACAGAAACCTCTCCAGGGTATAAGAATAGGAGTGTGGCAAATGTGCTCTTCCTTCCCTTCTTGCAGGAGATGGGCATGCTCGGGGTGGGTGTACACACTCCGCTTGTGCGTGTCACTGTACATGTCAACAGGGTTTTAGCAACACCATCTATCTTTCGCCAGAGTCAGCTGAAGGCCACTTCCTAGTGGCACTCCAAGTAACGTGGAGGCAGGATTCTGGGACCACTTGATACCTGTGGTCACTTCAGGGTGTAGTTTAGCCACCCTTGCACCAGTAAAGTGAACTCACACCTTGCAGAGCACAGAGCCAGCTGTACGCTAGCTTGGCCTTGGGTTTGCAATTCACCAGAGGCAGTTAAAGACACTAATGGAAAGTACGGTCTAAATAGAATATGGTATAATACCTAATTGGAATTTTTTCATGTTTTAGAGTTTGGTGTTTAGTCTACAGAATACACTTTAAAGAATGTATCTCTGCACGGTTTTGTAGGGCTCCTCCCTCCCACACCACACTTCCCTGAAGGAGCATCATGTGGACACCCTCAGAAACAGCACACAGGTCTTTGCCACAGGAGCCCCAAGAATGAATGTTTGCAGAAGCAGTTTGAGTATGGGGAGACCTCTGTGATTTCCTTTCCTCTTGTCAGGGCTCTGAGAGCATCCTTGCTTCAGCACTGTCAGGCACATTTTCTTTATGGCATTGCGCACTGCGACTAACTCTTCCCAAATCCATCCAATTTCCTCATTCTCCTTATTTAAGCAGACACAGCTATTTAGTCTCAGTCGCCTTTTTCTCCTCCACTGTCTCCAAAATGCCAGCTTCACGCACATTGTCTTGGTGCTCTTCCTAGGCAGCCAGGCTGCCCCAGCTCCTTGTCCCAGGCTCCCTGCCTCAGCAGTCTCAGCCCAACTGCTGGATCTTGATTTTGTAGGGGTTTTTCACCCCCAAGATTCTCTCCCTGCCCTTTTCACCTCTCTGCCTCCTCCTAAAATGCAGATTCTTTCCTCCAACAAATACCACCTTCCCTTCCTTCCTTCAGCTTCTTGTCCCAACAGAGATCAGGCAAGAAGACCTCGTCTCTCGGTGCCCCTCACCCAGCCAAACATCTCCCTGTTCCCCGTGGTTTTCTCATTGACTTCCAGCTCTCTTTTACTTAATCATCCTCCATCTTCTCCTTTCACCTCCCACTTACTATTTCTTCAATCTCTCTCACACCAATGTCATTGTCATCTTGCCCTGATGTTTTTCCCTTCTCTTCCCCCCCCCCCCCCTTCACTTCCCTCATCTCCACATTCAGGTCAAGTTGCTTCCTTCAAAGGGTCACCTGGAACCTGGGCACATCCTCTGACAGGGCAGGAGCAGGAAGAGCTTCCCGCAGGGGCTGAGCCTTCCCTGTGGGCTTTGCAGTGGGAATATCTGCAGCTCCACGCAGCCCTGAGCTGCTACGTGTCAACTTGCTCTTTGCAGTTGGTATGTGGATGGCCCCACTGTGCTCCTGTGAGGAGCCTTGCTATGTTTCTGGGAAAGGGAGTCCTTGGAAGTTTTAGCTGTCAAACTCCAGTAAAGCCTGCCCTGAGTACTTCATAATAGCTGCCAGTTTTGTCCCCAAACATTCGTAAATTTGCTAAATTCAGTCAGATTTCCACAAAGAGGACAAAAAGGAAACCCCTGCCGCAATGGTGAGCAACTCTGCTTCAGAGTAGAGTCTTGGGCCTTTAATAAACAAAGTTGCAAGACTTTTTTAACACGGACAAAACGGTATTTTTCCATTTAGGAGGAAAGAAGGAATCCTTTTTGGCTTGAATAAAAAAGAACTAGCTGAAAGCAAAACCAATTTCAGCTTTAGAAGGCCAAGTTTTGCAAAATTACAAATAAGTAGAAAGAAGGCCTTTTAATGGGACTTATCAAACAGTATTAATAATAGATGCTGTATCATTTGCCTGCAAGAATACACTAGAATAGCTATGACTGCAGATGCCAAGGCTCTGAGCCTAGTACTCAGGCTTAGGAAAGCAGACATAGGTTCATACCTGCATCTGTACAAATAATAACAGGCTCTTACAGTCACATTACCCAGCAAAGACCTTTTTACAGTGTGAAATGTGACACCCTGCATGTAAGATATTGGATATACTAGAAGGAAAATTCACGTGCTTCTCAGCATTCAGGCATTAATTCCAGGTCACTGGAATGCTGCTTTAAATTACCATTTTGTCCTGGGCAGCATCCTTCATCCCTAGTGGAGCATCTGAGGATGTACTGTTTCCCATGAGAAGCAGGCATTGCCCCTTAATGTTTGCTTCATGTCTGCTAGCAAATCCCCAGATAGCAAAGCAAACTGACAAAGATCAGCTGGATTTAGCAACAGGTAATAGCTATTTATATGAAAATGCCTATAAGAAAAGTATATCTGAAGTGACTGTTTTGCATGAAACGTAACGCTGTCATCCACCAGAATGACGCATCTTTAACCTATTCAGTGGTGTAACAGCCTGGCTACATGTGATTTTTGTATAACCTTTCTGGTGCATCAGAGACCTAACCATAATTTTAGAAGTGAAATAAGACAGGTAGGTTTGTGACACTCCCTCAGATATGAGTGGGCCAGAAATCAATTAATTCAATCTATGAATGTAAGCAAGAAGTATAGGTCAGTAACTTACATCATACATATTTCTGAAGTATCACTTCTGGGGAATTCTAAGGAAAAGATTGACACCACCTGACGTACCAAATGGCCCAAGCCC